ATTTTCATTTAGTATGTGTCCCAGATAATTTATTGAGTTTTTACAGAACTCACATTTTTTCAAATTTAATTTTAAATTATATTTATTTAAACGCGAAAAAATAATTTCCAAGGTTTTTAAATGTTCGTCCAGCTCCTCATTAAAAATTATTATATCATCTATATATGCCATACAATTAGGGACATTTGTAAGTATTTCGTCCATGGTCCTTTGAAAAATGGCAGGACTATTTTTTAGACCGAATGGTAATTTCAACATTTCAAAAATGCCTTTTTCTGTTATAATTCCACATTTATAAGTGCTTCCTGGATCCAATGGTATTTGCCAAAAACCGGATCGGAGATCCAGTGTAGTATAATATTTATGGCCAGAAATTTTGTGCAAAATTGTCTCCATTTTTGGGAGAGGGTATGGATCCGTTACTGTGATTTTATTCAGAGCCCTAAAATCCACACATGGCCGTAATTTATTATCAGCTTTTCTTACTAGAACTACGGGTGACACCCAAGGAGTGTTAGATTTCTTTATTACTCCAATTTTAAGCATAGACTCCAAATGTTCATCTAACTCAGCCTGGTATTTTTCTGGTACTCTATAAGGTCGGCTGGTAATTGGGATTTCTGTATGTGTTAAGATTGGGGGAGCAGTAATTGTACATTCACCCAAATCATAATCATGCTTGGAAAAAACATTTGCATATTTGTTTATACTAGTTTTCAATTTTCCACTTTCCAAGGCATTCAGATTTGTATTTATTTCTAATTTATTAAATTCTAGTATATAACAATTTGTGTCATTTTGAATCCTTTTTAGGTTACCATTTTGTAAATTTAATAAAAGCGGGAGGTTTTTTAAAGTGCTTCTGCCTATTATTACGTCATATTTACCAGTGGTACTTATTTCATTTTCAATTATTACAAATGAGGTTTTTATTTCACAACCTGCTATTTTCAAAAAAACTTCTCCCTGACCAATAGTTGGAACAATTTTTTCTCCGATACCTACTATTGCATTTATTTCGGGAGGATGGATTCCTTTTATTTTTAATTTTTGAGCTGTCTTTCTTCCCATTAAGGAAACGTGTGCGCCAGTGTCAATTAGGCATGCAATTTCTCTTTCATTTATTAAGGTATTTATTCTGAAGTTTTCGTCACATTGAGTTTCATGAAATGATGCTACTTCTATTATTTCAATGTGTTGAATTTCTATACTGGGCCATCGTTCGTTTAATGGAGGGGTCCTTTCAGTTTTTTCTGCCAATTCAATTTCTCGAATCTCACGCCTTTTATTTTTATATTTTTGTAATAATTTTGTTGCGCGGATATAGGAATTACTAACATTAAATAAAAGATTTAAGTATTGAAGTATAGCTGGAGGAATTATTAATTGTACAGCTATAGAAATAGTTACATAGCAGCAAACAAAAAATACCCAAATTTGATTAAACGAAGGTAATCCTCCTTTCAAAAACGAGAAAAGACCACTAGATACAATATTTCCGGCTAATAACTCGGTTTTTCCTGTTGATTCCCTCCAAGTGCTACTGCTAGGGCGAGTTAATCGCATAATTTCTTGGCTTATTTCTGCAGCTTCTAGCGTTTCGTTAAAATGCTCAGGGGAATATAATTCGGATAAATTTGCGAGTATTTTATTTCTGAAGATTGTTACTCCAATATCCGGAAAATCCAAGTTCCCAAATCGTGCTAATGTAAAGATCGACTCTATTGGGATTTCATTTTCATCTCCATTAACTTGATTATATTGAATTATTTTTCCACCTATTTCAATGAATTGCGATTTAGCAGAATTACAATCAATCTCTTTGGCCTCTGGGTAAATAATCAAAGTATTTGTGTCCAAAAATCCATGTTTTTGGACCTCAAAGAGCTTAAAACTGATTGGTATTTTGTTAAAACAGTGACCAGTTTTCCAATTATAATGTATGTCTTTAAAGTTAATGGGGTAACAAGGTTTAATTTCTAAAGTCCTATCAGTTACCAGTCTAGCAGTTATTAATTTATTTTTCATAAAATGTCTTGCTAGTAATGTGGGGTTAGCAATTGCCAAACTTAAGGTTTGGTCCACTATAGACTGTAAACTCGTGCATATTTGGTGTGTGGCTTCTGCAAAAAGGCGTTGAGTATTAAACGTAATTTTAGCACTAAGCGCTGTTAATTGCGCGGCTAATTGTTGGGAGTAAACAATTCCTATTTCTCTTTTACTTCTTTTTATTTCGTTCTGCGCTCTTTCACTCTTCATAATCATTTCATTATATTCATTTACGGGTACAGCAAAACCTTGATCAGAAACAGTAAATTGTGTTCCCTCACAATCAGTTTTTATTGTGGCATTTTCAAAACTTAGAGCAAATTCACTGCTTTTTGTAATCCAAATTTTAGTTGAATATTCGCCTTCCCATCGAGTTACGAATATAAAAGAGCATTGTTGGGATTTCTCTGGTTCCCAAATAAGGCTTCCTTGTGTACACCGACAGGATCCAGCCTTATAAAGACAACCAGGGCAACTACCTAGAGGCGTTGATATACCGCTCATTCCATAGCGTGTAAAAATAACTGAGTCAAAAGCATAGCAGTTTGTGACTTCTTCTGTATACCAAATTATGCTAATAGGCCAAGGTCGCCATTCACTGTCCAGGGAATTATTCGTAGCCTTAAATGTGTTATTTCCAAACATTTCACCTGCTGGCGAGTGATAAAGTTTATGCATCCTATGACAGGTCGATGTTGGGATTTCTATGTTTTCCGTATCAATTTTTTCATATTTAGAACCAAAAAGTCCCATTCTACGATTTATAATTGTTTTAACACATCGACAGACAGTTGTGGCCGTTTTGTATTCTAAAGTGTTTGCACGATAAACCGATAATGGCATTTCTATAGGCGGTTCTGTGGTTCTCCAATGCGGGCAGATAGGTTCCTCCGGAAGTTTCCACAAGCTACTCGGGGATTCTGCAAGACAAATCATTGGGCTATGCGGTCCATGGCTGGCTATACTTGGGCAAACAAGAGCAAGTAGCGCTAATATTGCCAAAAAGTACGGGCTTAACATCCTTGGGCTAGATGTAATAGGACTTGCTACCCTGTTTTCACTAAATCTCACTCTTCTTTTTGGAGAGTGGCTTTGTCTATTTCTGAAATTTCCTCTTTCATTGTATTTGTTTTGATTATTTTGGGAATTTCGATTATTCCAGTTTCCATTTCTGTTATTATTTTGGTTCCTATAGTTATTTTGATAATTTCCGTTTTTGTAAAAATTTTGGTTATAATCTCCGCGATTGTTATAGTTTTGGTTATTTCTGCGGGTATGATTTGAATTATAATTATTAAATTGCGGTTGATTTGGTTGTTGGTAACTCCGATTTCTACAATTAGCCATTATGTGACCAGGCTTTCGGCAATGATAGCAAATTTTCCTTAGTTTATCATTTTCATTTTGTATCACTAGAGCTTCAACCTTCTCCGCTAAATCAACAAATTGATTATTTTGTAAGTGTGGACGTCTTTCTGTTAGTAATAGTTCAAAATGCTCTGCTGTTTCAAATGCTCTGGTATAATCTTCAGGTCTTGAAGCCTTGACTTCAAATTGTAATTCAGGGACAAGGCGATCCAAAAATTCATCCAATAAACGCTGTTGGATCATATTTTCCTCATATCCTATCATTACTGCACGTACCGCATCATTTAAGCGTTGTGCAAAAGCGAAAACTCTTTCGCCTGGCGCTTGTTTAACTATAGAAAGTGCTTGTCGAGCTACCGTACGCGAATGTCCATTTACAAATCTCTCTTGTAAAAAATTTAACGCGTCTTGTAGTGTCTCCGGTTGTGGGTTTTGTGAGTCTAATTCAGCTCGTGCGCGTCCTCCTAAACATACTTTCAGGCGGTTTAGTTTTTGAGCTTCCGATAGAGGGGTTAATAAAAGATTTATTGCGTCGTTGAAACGCTGCGACCAGCGTGCAAAAGAATTACAGGGGTTTCCGTCATATATTCCTATAGGTGAGCTTAATCCATTTAAGAATGGGTCTCCCATCATTATTTCACAATTTTCGTCTCCCTCAATATTTTCATTTTCTTGGGGGTTTCTTTCTTTATTCCCATCGATATTGGATTTATTTTCATTAGATTTCTCACCCCCATGGCCATTCCATATAAATCCAGATCCTTCAGACTCATTTTCCAAAACTTCAACTTTAAATTCTAGACTTTCCAATTTGTCTGATAATTCTCGAAATTTAGCTCCTAAATCAAAATTATCTTGTTCAGCGAGTTCTAGTCCTTCCTCAATGATATTTAGACGCTGACAATGTAAAATTTGTTCTTTTTCCAGTTCAGTGCATTTGCCTTGGAAAAGAGCATGTACATAACAATTTTCTCCTTTATCTATTAATTTTTCTTCAATTTCGTCTATTTTTAATTTATTTAGGTCAATTTCAACTCCTAAATCAAGTGTCGCATCCTTAATAAAATTTTCTACAATTTTAATTTTATCATTTAACGTCTCGAATTTTCCTTCAAGAACAAAGTTTATTTGAGGAAAATCGGGTTTTTCCGTTTGTATATTCGTAATTGTTCCTTCAATACGGCGTATTGTTTTGCAAACTACCTCTTCAAAAGAACGGAGGCGGATAAGTAAACTATTCCAATTTTTTCCTTCCTCTGCGGTAAAGAATTTTGGAGCAAAATCTGAACCAGTTTGTTCGGTTTTACTCATTTTTATTAAGTCAATTTTCGAGCAAGGATAACACCTAGTAATATCCTTTGAGTCCAATGGCACCTAGCCACGAATAAACACCTAGTAATTATTCGCTTTAAAAATATAAAATTTCAATAAGTGGAGCTTTTCTAGCTCAACACTTCAAAAAAGATCCTCTTTAAACTTCGAAGTTTTAAATTCTCTCAGAAAAAGTACCCGGAGTGGCACCAAAATGAACTATGTTTATTTAGTTCACTATTACCGGTTCTCTTTTACTGAGGATTTCAAATAATTCTAATAGTCCAAATATATTTTATTCAATTAAGTTTATAAAATTGGTATTGGTTAGGTATAGGTAAAGTTAAAGTCAAAAGTGTTAATTGAGGTGCATTTGGTTTTCTTTAAATAGGGTTGTGCATGTGAATAAAAGAGGTACAATAGTCGGGATTTATTTACTATATTAAAGAGTATACAAATATATGTTGGTTGGGAAATTACTTTAAGATAAGAGTTTATGTCGGGAAACCAATCGAGAATGGCATAGACAAATATATATTGGGAGAATATTTAAATTAAAGATAAGAGTGTTTGTCGGGAGTGTGTTTATCAAGAATACTCCACAGGCCCTATTATAAATTTTGAAATTCAGAAATTTTCCTAATTCCAAATACATCAGAGATGTAAAAAATTCTAGGTTCGCAGGCGAAATTCAGAAATTTTCCTAATTCCAAATACATTATGAAATAAAAAATTCTAGGTTCGCAGGCCCTATTATAAATTTTGAAATTCAGAAATTTTACTAATTCCAAATACATTATGAAATAAAAAATTCTAGGTTCGCAGGCCCTATTATAAATTTTGAAATTCAGAAATTTTCCTAATTCCAAATACATCAGAGATGTAAAAAATTCTAGGTTCGCAGGCGAAATTCAGAAATTTTCCTAATTCCAAATACATCAGAGATGTAAAAAATTCTAGGTTCGCAAACCCCTATTATAAATTTTGAAATTCAGAAATTTTCCTAATTCCAAATACATTATGAAATAAAAAATTCTAGGTTCGCAGGCCATATTATAAATTTTGAAATTCAGAAATTTTCCTAATTCCAAATACATTATGAAATAAAAAATTCTAGGTTCGCAGGCCCTATTATAAATTTTGAAATTCAGAAATTTTCCTAATTCCAAATACATTATGAAATAAAAAATTCTAGGTTCGCAGGCCCTATTATAAATTTTGAAATTCAGAAATTTTCCTAATTCCAAATACATTATGAAATAAAAAATTCTAGGTTCGCAGGCCCTATTATAAATTTTGAAATTCAGAAATTTTCCTAATTCCAAATACATTATGAAATAAAAAATTCTAGGTTCGCAGGCCCTATTATAAATTTTGAAATTCAGAAATTTTCCTAATTCCAAATACATTATGAAATAAAAAATTCTAGGTTCGCAGGCCCTATTATAAATTTGAAATTCAGAAATTTTCCTAATTCCAAATACATCAGAGATGTAAAAAATTCTAGGTTCGCAGGCGAAATTCAGAAATTTTCCTAATTCCAAATACATTATGAAATAAAAAATTCTAGGTTCGCAGGCCCTATTATAAATTTTGAAATTCAGAAATTTTACTAATTCCAAATACATTATGAAATAAAAAATTCTAGGTTCGCAGGCCCTATTATAAATTTTGAAATTCAGAAATTTTCCTAATTCCAAATACATCAGAGATTTAAAAATTCTAGGTTCGCAGGCCCTATTATAAATTTTGAAATTCAGAAATTTTCCTAATTCCAAATACATTATGAAATAAAAAATTCTAGGTTCGCAGGCCCTATTATAAATTTGAAATTCAGAAATTTTCCTAATTCCAAATACATCAGAGATGTAAAAAATTCTAGGTTCGCAGGCGAAATTCAGAAATTTTCCTAATTCCAAATACATTATGAAATAAAAAATTCTAGGTTCGCAGGCGAAATTCAGAAATTTTCCTAATTCCAAATACATTATGAAATAAAAAATTCTAGGTTCGCAGGCCCTATTATAAATTTTGAAATTCAGAAATTTTACTAATTCCAAATACATTATGAAATAAAAAATTCTAGGTTCGCAGGCCCTATTATAAATTTTGAAATTCAGAAATTTTCCTAATTCCAAATACATCAGAGATGTAAAAAATTCTAGGTTCGCAGGCGAAATTCAGAAATTTTCCTAATTCCAAATACATTATGAAATAAAAAATTCTAGGTTCGCAGGCCCTATTATAAATTTTGAAATTCAGAAATTTTACTAATTCCAAATACATTATGAAATAAAAAATTCTAGGTTCGCAGGCCATATTATAAATTTTGAAATTCAGAAATTTTCCTAATTCCAAATACATTATGAAATAAAAAATTCTAGGTTCGCAGGCCCTATTATAAATTTTGAAATTCAGAAATTTTCCTAATTCCAAATACATTATGAAATAAAAAATTCTAGGTTCGCAGGCCCTATTATAAATTTTGAAATTCAGAAATTTTCCTAATTCCAAATACATTATGAAATAAAAAATTCTAGGTTCGCAGGCCCTATTATAAATTTTGAAATTCAGAAATTTTCCTAATTCCAAATACATTATGAAATAAAAAATTCTAGGTTCGCAGGCCCTATTATAAATTTTGAAATTCAGAAATTTTCCTAATTCCAAATACATTATGAAATAAAAAATTCTAGGTTCGCAGGCCCTATTATAAATTTGAAATTCAGAAATTTTCCTAATTCCAAATACATCAGAGATGTAAAAAATTCTAGGTTCGCAGGCGAAATTCAGAAATTTTCCTAATTCCAAATACATTATGAAATAAAAAATTCTAGGTTCGCAGGCCCTATTATAAATTTTGAAATTCAGAAATTTTACTAATTCCAAATACATTATGAAATAAAAAATTCTAGGTTCGCAGGCCCTATTATAAATTTTGAAATTCAGAAATTTTCCTAATTCCAAATACATCAGAGATGTAAAAAATTCTAGGTTCGCAGGCCCTATTATAAATTTTGAAATTCAGAAATTTTCCTAATTCCAAATACATTATGAAATAAAAAATTCTAGGTTCGCAGGCCCTATTATAAATTTGAAATTCAGAAATTTTCCTAATTCCAAATACATCAGAGATGTAAAAAATTCTAGGTTCGCAGGCGAAATTCAGAAATTTTCCTAATTCCAAATACATTATGAAATAAAAAATTCTAGGTTCGCAGGCCCTATTATAAATTTTGAAATTCAGAAATTTTACTAATTCCAAATACATTATGAAATAAAAAATTCTAGGTTCGCAGGCCCTATTATAAATTTTGAAATTCAGAAATTTTCCTAATTCCAAATACATCAGAGATGTAAAAAATTCTAGGTTCGCAGGCCCTATTATAAATTTTGAAATTCAGAAATTTTCCTAATTCCAAATACATTATGAAATAAAAAATTCTAGGTTCGCAGGCCCTATTATAAATTTTGAAATTCAGAAATTTTCCTAATTCCAAATACATTATGAAATAAAAAATTCTAGGTTCGCAGGCCATATTATAAATTTTGAAATTCAGAAATTTTCCTAATTCCAAATACATTATGAAATAAAAAATTCTAGGTTCGCAGGCCATATTATAAATTTTGAAATTCAGAAATTTTCCTAATTCCAAATACATTATGAAATAAAAAATTCTAGGTTCGCAGGCCCTATTATAAATTTTGAAATTCAGAAATTTTCCTAATTCCAAATACATTATGAAATAAAAAATTCTAGGTTCGCAGGCCCTATTATAAATTTTGAAATTCAGAAATTTTCCTAATTCCAAATACATTATGAAATAAAAAATTCTAGGTTCGCAGGCCATATTATAAATTTTGAAATTCAGAAATTTTCCTAATTCCAAATACATTATGAAATAAAAAATTCTAGGTTCGCAGGCCATATTATAAATTTTGAAATTCAGAAATTTTCCTAATTCCAAATACATTATGAAATAAAAAATTCTAGGTTCGCAGGCCCTATTATAAATTTTGAAATTCAGAAATTTTCCTAATTCCAAATACATTATGAAATAAAAAATTCTAGGTTCGCAGGCCCTATTATAAATTTTGAAATTCAGAAATTTTCCTAATTCCAAATACATTATGAAATAAAAAATTCTAGGTTCGCAGGCCCTATTATAAATTTGAAATTCAGAAATTTTCCTAATTCCAAATACATCAGAGATGTAAAAAATTCTAGGTTCGCAGGCGAAATTCAGAAATTTTCCTAATTCCAAATACATTATGAAATAAAAAATTCTAGGTTCGCAGGCCCTATTATAAATTTTGAAATTCAGAAATTTTACTAATTCCAAATACATTATGAAATAAAAAATTCTAGGTTCGCAGGCCCTATTATAAATTTTGAAATTCAGAAATTTTCCTAATTCCAAATACATCAGAGATGTAAAAAATTCTAGGTTCGCAGGCGAAATTCAGAAATTTTCCTAATTCCAAATACATTATGAAATAAAAAATTCTAGGTTCGCAGGCCCTATTATAAATTTTGAAATTCAGAAATTTTACTAATTCCAAATACATTATGAAATAAAAAATTCTAGGTTCGCAGGCCATATTATAAATTTTGAAATTCAGAAATTTTCCTAATTCCAAATACATTATGAAATAAAAAATTCTAGGTTCGCAGGCCCTATTATAAATTTTGAAATTCAGAAATTTTCCTAATTCCAAATACATTATGAAATAAAAAATTCTAGGTTCGCAGGCCCTATTATAAATTTTGAAATTCAGAAATTTTCCTAATTCCAAATACATTATGAAATAAAAAATTCTAGGTTCGCAGGCCCTATTATAAATTTTGAAATTCAGAAATTTTCCTAATTCCAAATACATTATGAAATAAAAAATTCTAGGTTCGCAGGCCCTATTATAAATTTTGAAATTCAGAAATTTTCCTAATTCCAAATACATTATGAAATAAAAAATTCTAGGTTCGCAGGCCCTATTATAAA